AAGCCCCTAGTAGGTAGGCAACTTTCATAACTTCGAACGGTTTGCCCCCCCTCTGAAAAGTCGGCCTCACAGGACATATTAACGAACAGTGATTTTCGCTATATCGATGCGCCCTAACAAAAGAGTTCGACCTGCTTTGCTGGTGAATTAAAAGAGTTCGATGTGTGCCGGTGCCGTTTTAACAAGGTCCGAACTTACTGCTTTGCTGCCGAACAGAAAGAGTTCGATCTGCTTTTCGGCGATGGAACGTCAGACATCTTTGGAGGGCTACCTCCTCGGCAATTTCGAATACACGCAAAATGAAAAGATTTGCCTGTTACCATGCCCTTTACCATGCGTGTGCACCCTAACATATGTGCCCTTCTCCTCTCCTCTCAAGCTTCGAGATATCATACAGTTTATGCGGAGCGGTCGACGAGCGCCGCGGCAGCAAAGCAGATCGGTCTTTGTTAAAACGGCAACGGTACAGATCGAACTATTTTATTTTCGCAGCAAAGCAGATCGGACTCTTTCGTTAGAGCTCATCGCTATGGCCCTCTTACCGTGGCCGGGGAGCTGCAGCAGTCTCTCCGCGGCGCTCACGCTGCCCGCCACGAAGAGCGCCGTCAGCCCCATCCAGTCCTCGACGCGGGCGTCCACGCCGTTCTCAAGCAGCCAGTCCATGACGCCGAGCTGGCCGGACTCGGCCGCCGCGTGCAGCAGCGTGCGCCCTCGGCAGTCGGCGCTGGCGAGGTCCACGCCGGCCTCCACCGCCGCCCGCAGCGCTGCCAGGCCTCCCCCGCGCGCCTGCCGGAAGGCCTCGTCCTTGAGCTTCGCCAGGCGCAGCAGGCGCTCGCCCTCGGCGCCGGGCTCGCTGCGAACACGGAGACTGGCGGCGCGTTGCACCGCCACGAACTCCTCGAGTTTCTCCCTGGAGCGGATGGCGCTGGCGCAGGGCGCGGCCAGCTCCAGCTGGGGCTCGAACAGCCGCTGGATGAGGGCGTCCGCGTGGTCCAGGTACCTCCACAGCTGCTCGCCGAACAGCACCGGGCTGAACAGGTCGCCGATGGGCGCGCGCGAGCCCGCGTCGTCACGCCAGTGCGACGACAGCGACCGGAGTCCGCCGTGGAAAGCGAAAACACGAGCTGTGCTGGAGGAGATGGGTGTCGGGAGGGCTTGGAGGGCGGAGGCGGCGGGGTCAAACGATGAGCTCCCTCGTTGTGCTGGTTTCAGATGCGGGCTTACAGCGCTTAGTTCGAGTGGGAGAGAGAGCTGCTGGAGTTTTCGAAGGAGGAAGTCTTGCCATGCCAATGATGAATTATCTTTTGGTATGCTGAAACCCATCAGGCGAATGCGTTTTCTTGTGTCTAAATTCTCAAAGCTCGACTGAATTTTCTGAAGAGCGAATTTTTCTACTCCTTTATTTTTAGCGTTCAGGCAGACGAGCTTGTCGAAGATGGGGTGCGTATCTTGCTCTGGTCTTGCGCTGACTTTAAGATCGGCTCTCCCCATATCATTCAGACACGATGGCTGCCAGCATTGCTCTACCAGCTCGTTCTCCGCCATGAGCCACAGGTCCAGCACGGCGTTTCGGACTTCTCGCAAGTCCCGGTCGAGTACCTCACGCTCCGCCCATAACTCGGTCACGGTGTCTGCGGCCAGGTCGTTCTGGCCGTACTTGGTGAGCACGTGCGCCGCGTCGGTCTGAGAGATTGCCTCGGCGTAACGGCCTGAGAGGTTGGGCGCGTCCCGGGTGTTGTCCATGCGCCGCCTCGCTCTGAGCACGGCCTCGCCGAACGCCATCCAGCCCCAGTCCGCAAACTCGGAAGCACCCAGCCAGAGGCTGCTGCTCGCCACCTCCAGAGACGCGGCGATGTCCTCCAGGGACTGTACGTCCCGCAGCAGGGAGCAGTCGCGGCACATGGCTTCCAGGGGTGTCCCCGTCTGGAGGTCCACCAGGGACGGCTCGCGGTGGGCGACGCGTCGGCCCTGCGTAGTGACACTCGCACGTGTATTCGCGGAAACGTTCTGTCCTTCGTTTAGCTCACGTTTCTGGGCTGCCGTTTTACAGCCCAAGAGGCGGACGCGGAGTAGAGCGACCAGCACGCACAGGAGGCATCGGAACGTCCGCAGGTGTCTCAGCACCTTCTCCGGTGTGAGCACAAAGGCCCACGTCTCGTAAACCGTCTGCGCCTCGACAAACTGCACCAAGAGGTACTCCGCGTCCTGCCACGGCACCGCGTCGTGCGTGCCCGAGCCCGAGACCTCCGGCTTCACGGCCCGCACTGCCAGGGCCGAAAGCGCGGCCAGCATCACGCACTCGTCGTCCACCTCCGCGAGCCCGGCCGCCACC